ATCCCCTAGACCAACACAAGGTGCATCAGTAACTAAAGTGTCCAAAAGCGATGATAAATAGGACAAAAAGCCACTTCTCGCCTTCACTGCACATTCGTAAGATAACTGAAAGAAAAAAACTTATGAATAAATTGTATGGAGACAGAGAAAGAGATCTTGTAGATCTGGAAAATTCAGTTTGTATTGTATGTAAATCAAAAAATAATAGAGAAGAATAACAAATAAATGAGAATAACATCTGTTGACTGTCTATCCCTAAGACCCTCACTATAATGTACACAATATTACTGTTCGTACGTTAACCTGCGCACAAGATAACAGGTAACGAATTTATCTTCACAGGCTATGTGCAACATAAATTTTCTGCCACGGAATCTGATCTCTTACGGTATGAATAAAATAAATTATATTTCAACTCCACGACATTTTACAGAACAAACAAAGCACCTCAAATATATAACATGCAAGCCTGTACGCCTTTAATTGATCTTCTTCAGACAGGTGTTGAGATCGTCTTTTTTTTAGTTTTTTTTCAATCAACTCTATTACGTCAACGCGTCTTCCATCCCTGAAGTCATTCGTGTATTCTGCCTCAAGCTCAGACTGTCTGTTTTTGCTCAACGTGTTTTCAGTTCTTCTTTGGTCCATGCTGACTTTTCTCTCTGCCAAAGCAGCATGCCTTGTTGAAAATAAAAGTTGCTGGTTAAATTGAGTTAATTGATTGTCGCACCTATCACCTAGTAACATTTTGAAAAAAATTCAAAAGAAGTATCTGTATCAAACATAGCAAGAGGGAGACAAATCACAAATATAATGCGATGTGCAACAGAAGAAGGAAAGAGAGAGTACGAAATAACATTTTGGTATTAAGATAATGGCGGCATTCAATCAGTTTCTTTCAAGAAAAGCTGCTATAGGTAAAGTATCAAGCTAACCCATTAAAAAGAGAAGAGGAAATGTTCATTCTCTGATTAAAACACAAATTGCCCTTTAATCCTATATGAACTAGCTTTCATTTTAGTGGATAATTGTGCCTGTTTGGGGAATGTTCAGGAAGATATTCATGAACAGGTTGAAACAAATTTGATTTAAGGGTGTGGGTAAGGATCAAAGTAGGATGTCACTCTCCACAATTGTGTTACCTTTGTTTCAGGCCTTGAACTTCCGCTGATAATTTCCTGTTTTCATCACTATAACTTTGGTAAAGGTTATCGAGAATAAAGAGGAGTCAAATTCATTCATAAATGATAATCTACAAGATGTAGATGTTGTTTAATACGCTAATAGCTTTCAAGAATTTCCGTCAGTGTTGACTATTAATTAAATTCAGTTTGTCACGCCTGAGGAGCAGGAGAGCCCTGTCAATGCTGGCGTGACGGAAAGATTATAACCATTCCCACTTTCCTAACAGCTAAATAATCACAAAAATTAAGACTTGTCAGAATTCTTTGTCTCTGTGACAGATTAATTGATTAATTCATTTATTTCCTTGCGGAGTAGGCATTAGACAGGGCAGATATTGTTATGACGATAATAACGACTGTAACATGCCATTGTACAAACATAAATGCGTCTACACTTTGAGAAATGAGATCATTACATGAGCAAACAATTTCAGCAGGTTTTATTTAAAGAATTTTATACTATTTTGTAATCTACTCTGCCTCTAATAAAGAGGACTTTTCAAATTGTTTACCTTTGCAGTCGCTCCAATTTCTCGAGTCGCGAAGGGAGTTGTCGTGATGCTTCAATTAGTTTTGCTATGGGCCATTCCTCATCATTTGCAGTTGATGCCGATGGGTGCGTTTTGGATTCATATCCACTTGGTTGAATGGAGTTAGGTGGCGTTTTTCCACGCGTAAAGTACGCCATTACTGAATCAAGTAGCAATTGCCCCAGCGTGTATCGACTGTATCTCCCGGATGTCTGTTTTCCTAGAAAGAAGCCGGAAGTGGCTAATTTACTGTAACAAAACCCAAATATTCCATGCGCCAGTAAGGGATAACTTCACTTCGCTAAGATATCGGTTTTAGTTCATTCCTGTCCGTCATTCGCGAACAACCTTTAGATAAGGTATGTAAAAACATATCTCGAGTTAAAGCTTTTTAAAATCATCTTTATTACATTAACGCTCCGTAATGATAACTTATCCTTAGCGTGAATATGCGAAATCGGGGGCAAGGAAAAACACACAGACAAACACACGCAGACCACCAATTTCTGCCTTAATTTCAGTCTTTCTATCATTACAAAGACATTAAAAAAACCGCAATTTTTAGACCTAATCGGCGAGTATGTCGAAAATTGTCGAGAAGAACTGATGTTTCTTTTTACGAAGCCCTTGTGGGGTCATGCGATTCCAGTGCCGAAAGTGCCTTCCTAAAGCTTGAAGAATAGCAAAAATGCAAATGTTTGAATTCTGATCTAATCTACAAAGTCAAAGAAAATCAACTCTGTCAGAATATCATCGTGATTTGTCAAAAAAGGAACCCTTTTTTGAGTGAGTAACAGTATACTTGGTGTATAACTTCCAATTTTTATTCTTGG